AGACTGCTCCAACTTTGGTCCTGTTTGTAACCAATGGGAGGATTAGATCAAATCTGAGCCTGGACTGGTGAGTAGAGGTCCTCTCTGCGTAGAGTGCAGTCCTGTCTGGAAACCGTTTGATGTAAATAGTGACTTTTTGTGTATTTATATGTCACCTTTATGTTGTCGTCTCTTTCGGTACGGCCACAGGATGTGTCATTAAGCACTAACTGTTTGCAGGAAATAACATACTTGAAGCATTGCACAGAAAGTAGTTTCTTTTTTATTCTTTTTTAATAATCACGATATCTTCAGAGGGGGTGGGGGTGAGTAAGGTGTGGTGCCAAGGTGTTTGAATTCCCTACTGGTGAACACTGACATTAAAGCAGAGTCAACTCTTACTCTTAACCACTGCATATTCAGCCTTGAAAGCTTCCATCGTTAGAAGAGTTAGACTCATCCTTACATATTTGCACTGACATTATCACCAGATAACTATGTAAGTTATTTACTTTAACCCGGAGGCACTGGTGGCTTGCTGGTTCTCCATTTGTTCTCACAGAACTAAGCCTATGTGTTGCTGCTATATTGTTTTAAAACCCATACCTTATTAACCATTATTTGGTTTGTATGATACTCGCAGTGCTCTGCCATCCTTTTTTTGGCTAGTTGTTGACATTGTTTTGGGGCATTTCTATCCAGACATGAAGTGAGGGGAAAGTGTGTTGTACAGTATCTGCATGTATTTGAACAACTGTAAATGTTACAGTAGCTCTGTAGCAGTTTATTAAATGTAAAAAAAAAAAATTTGTCCTGAAGCATTTCAACAAAACCTGCAAAACAGTGTGGACCTGAGACATCACTGTGGTATAATATGATGAGTTTTAGATCCAACAGTAGCTAGGCCCCAGCTAACACATAGCACATTGCATTCTTAACCTTTGTTTGCTTCGTTTTAAAACATATAAAACCAGGACGTAAACAGAAAAAGAGGATCCTGCTGTAGATTTATAGAAGTGGCCTTCCTCTAAACTGGTCCATTGTGTTCTTACAGGGGAGAGTGTGTGCACTTCAGCTGTACACAGAGCAGATGTCTTAGACTACAGGAAATATGTCGGCCAACTGGTATTATTCTCACCCAAAAAAATAAGCTGTTGAAGACAGAAAAATAGTTCCGTTATAACAATCCCAAATGCTCAATTTCTATCTGACAAGCACCAGCGTTCACATAATGGAATGAATTACAGAGATGTTTCCCTTTTTTTTTTTTTTTTTTACCAAGAAACTGTGCCCATTCAGTAACCACAAGGAAGTGGTTTTAACTTCCGAAAATGTCCAGTGCCATTTCACTCACGGGTCATTTGATATGAATTTACATTTTAGCTGGTAAAAAATAAAAATAAAAAAAAAGTTGAAAGTGTAGGATTACCTTACATGTAAGTACAAACTACTTTTTCAAAAGATGATATTGATGTGAGAGTCCTGTGCCTTTGAATAGGTTTGCCTTGTTTGATGTTGAATGTGTGAAATGCATCATTGTTTATATTGCCATTATATTCTATTCTATATGAAGCTGATATTGACTAGACCGTGTGCACTTTTTAAGTACAGTACCACTACTGAGTAATGCTTGTGACGAGCAGTATTTGACATGTGTCATGTGTGAAAATGGGAGACCTCCTTCTTTTACGTCTTGAACAACTTTAATTAACACCGCCCTCGCCCTTCCCTTTGTCAACAACTTACGTGTATGCACTCTGGAAAATGTAAATGTATGTATGACATAAAGTTGATATAAAGTAAATATAGTGTAAAGGGAATTTGCCTGTAATTAAATAAATGTGGCTATTATTGTACTTTTCTGGAGTTGAGTTGTGTGTCTTTTGTTTGGTCATTGGTCAAACCTATCGATGTTTTCACCACTTTTATTTGACATCTTTTATGTTTTTGTTCTTTGATTTAAATAACTTGTCATTATACATCACTTTGTTGTCTTTATTGTTATATATATATACATTACTTATTTGTGTTCAATTAACAAAGAGTGTGTCAGCGTGTGAAATGTCTTAACTCTTTGTTTTATTTAGTCCTTAATTGTGGGTTATGTTTGTCACAGGTTTTGTCTTTTCATGGCTTTTTTTAAAACTTAAAGAGATTTCAGTGTCGTGTACTTTTTCTTATAGCATAGAAATGACTGCACAACGTCGGCAGAGGAATAGAATAAGATCACATTTAAACGATTGTTAAACTATTACAAAAGTGTGTTTATGCATTACAAGAAAACCGACTGCATGAAGGTGTGTGTGGCAGCATCCGTGTGGCGACGGGGCATCTATGAACTGTGTATATGTAGGTGAAAGTGTGTGTATGGTATGTACTTATGTCCCTCTAGGGGTTAGGGAGAAGTGGGGGAAGCTTTGTCGACCTACTTCCTATTATCACCTTGGTAACAGTATGTTTGAAATAGCCCTGAGAGGAACATGAATTTGATGACTTTCATGATTGGATCACTGGTAGCCACCTTGAAGACTGAAAAGTACAGGTATGAGTCATGCAAATTAGCGTGGATGTCGGTCACTATGCAAAAACATAATGTGGACTCAAGCCTGACAATGCATTACCACTTGTCTGTTGAGAATATAGGGGAATTGCACATGCACTTAAATGTCATTGGGCGTGTTTGTTTTGTTTTTAAAATATTTTTATTGAGTGTCATTGCACTGTGGATGGGAATATCACTGTGTGCCATCTTTGCTTTAATGTGAACAGTGTTAACACATTTTTAATCTTCAACACAAACCTGTTACTCATTGTGTGAGTGTTGGTGTGGTGCATGTGTACTATAACCTTCAAGCTTGCACTGTAGAGTGTGATTTTTCAGCTATCTGTAGTGCTGCTGCTGTGTGTGTTGGTGTGTGTGTGTGTGTGTGTGTGTTTTCCAGACTGCATAAACCCTGTGTCCTTCTCAGTCTCAGCTTCTCCAGCAGAATCCCAACAGACAACAGAAGATAAGACAAGCCCAGTTCCCCATAACAACCACTGTGACAGAGGCCTCCATGCATACCGGCAACTAGGAAGTGAGCTCATTAACCCTGAGTTCAGGATGGAAGGAGGGCGGCTTTTTAATAAGAATCTCTGGGTTATATAAACAGTGACGCCCTCCCAAACTCCCAGGAATATTATCACCCTGTGTCTGTCCATCTGCTGCGGGTTTGAAGAGGAGGGGAAGGAGGAGGTGTTCTGTAACTGGGTTTTAATGAGACACTCCAGGACTGCAGAAGAGGAGAGGACCACAGGGTGCTGCTTGGAAGGTACAGTAAGCAGCCACACATACACACATGGACACATTAACAAACATGATGTAGTACCACTTAAACATCACGACAAACTTCTTTCAGTCCTAGGTCTTAAATCTAATCCCAGCCCTCTGCACTTTGCATTGGATATCTAAACCTAATCCAGTCTTAATACAAAACCCAAGATGTAACCCTGAAGTAATTCTTACCTTACCTCAATCTGTTCTGAATTGATTCTAATTCTAGTTTCTATAAAACCCATGACCTACAACCTAAAATGTCCTCTTAAGAAAGAGGAGAATAAATACTGTGACCTTGCTTTAAAGGACGACCCTCACTCTTCTTTCTCCACATCTTTCTCTTCTTCATAAAGTTATAAATGTAGGAGCATCCCCTGTATCAGAGGGTGTTTTCTTCTATCTTTACAGCAGGTTTATTCTAGTTTAGTGTTTATTGTCACAGGAATTGCTACCTAATAATTGAATCAAATAATTGTTGACTTTTACAGGGTACTCCATTGATTTCAGAAATGAGGATCAGTTTATTCCCAAAATAACCCTTCTGATGTCATCAGGCTTACTTTGGGTTGCTGTGGAGACTGCAGATTATGGAAACAAAGCCTGTGTGAGCACTGACATTCATATACAGGGGCAGGGAGGGTATAATGAACCGCACAGTTGTGGTGCATTATGGCAAATGTAGGAATGTCTGAGCATGATCCACAGCAGATAGAATCAGTCGGGAACTCTGTTCCCTGTATGCATCTATTGTGAACATTATTGAGGAGTTCCAAAATATTGGACATGCAGCACTTTATTGTTGGAACAGACCACTGAAGATTAGTACCTCTCCAATTTCCAAAAAAAGTTGCATTTTATTCTCTAAAGCACCCATTAAGCACCATCTTCTGTCCCATTTCTGTCTTCCTCTTCGTGTTGAATGTGTTCATCTTGTCCTGATTTAACAGCAAACCCTGGAAATCAAAATAATAGATCATATTAATCAATCGAAAAAATATTATTGCGATAAAAACTGGTGCTATGTATTACAGAATACGACTGGCAAAAAAGGAGGAAAGTAACAAACTTTATTCTATTATAACCTATTTAGTTTGTATTGAGATTAACATCATGTCATAATATTAGTAATGGTATTATCCTTTATCTAGAGAGCACTTTTCAACATCCATTATAATCCAATACGAAGTGCTTCACAGCGGTGGAAAAGTCAGAAAGTCATAAAGTCATAATATCGTTATGTTTTAAAAGAAAATATATCAATATAGCCTCCGGAATTAGAAATGAAAAGAAAGATAGAAATACGACTCGACTTACATAAGGTATAAAGATTTATGTCGACCTAAAATGATGGGCAAACTGTGTTAAATAAACACACCTCTGTTGCATATTTGCAAAAACTAATAGTGCATTCAGTGGTGCCATACTTAGAAATACAGTCAGAGTCATGCACACAGGAGCCTGTAGTGGAAATACAGAGCAGTGTAACTGTGGCTTTAGGCTACAGAGGGAGGAGGGGGAGGCCGTGTTTGTCTTTTTCAACGCATGGCGGCTACAGTAGTCAGCTGTTAGAAAAAGCAGGGAGGAGCTGGATGTGGTTCTGCTGGATGACTCACTCTGTCAACCCTTGTAGGTAGGTACACTCATTCACTCTCGTACACGCGTACACGCTTCAGTCAGTCAGTCAGGCGCAGGCACGTTTCGGTGAAGAGGGGTTCCTGATCAAAGCGCATCAGGGCCGCTCAGTCTCCACTGGAGGGCGATTGGTACAAGAGCACCGGGACACTCCGACAGCAACACACAGAGAGACACACAGCAGAGAGTCGGAGGGAGACGGGACGCAAGACAGACAGCCTACACAGAAAGAAAAACACGGACCCTGACTCCTGCAGAGCATCTTTTCTCTCCGCCGTCGGATTAAACCCGTCCCGAGCCGTCCCGAGCCGTGCCCCCCCCCCACCACCACCCCCAAACACCGGAATCACGTAAGAATCAAACACACATTCAGGCTGAAACATCTCTCATTGCTGCTAACGGGATATTCAGAACTATTGTGCAGGTTACTCCGTTTTAAACCAGCGAGACTGCTTTCAATGTGATGTTGTTTTATTTTATTTTTTTCATGGCTGCTGTTGAGAACAGGACCTTACATTTAAACTCCCATCACGTTAGCTTCACTCTGCTCGCATCATTCAGACATCGCACATCCTCTCCCTGCCTCTCTCTCTCTCTCTCTCTCTCTCTCTATCTCTCTCTCTGTCTCTCTATCTCTCTGTCTGTCACACATACAAGCTGGAGACAGTAGCTTTTGCTAGCTCGTTAGCAAGACACATTAAAATGAGCATTCTTAGCAATTTGGTATTGCATGTGCTGGTCGTGATAGCTTCGTTTCCAGGTAAATTCGGTAAAAAAGAGAGCCTCTGTGGCTTAAAAACTTGACAAAATGCAGGGGTTATTGATGTTTCCGACGGCTGTGAGGTTAGCCTTTGGAGCTAGCTGTAGCGGGACAGATCAGAAGCCAGACACACAACTGCACAGTAACCATAAAAGTCAAACCGGCTTAGCATGCCTTTTAATTTCTAATATGTACACAGTTGTGTTTACATTGTGGTTTTTTTTTTGTTGCACTTAAATATTTGCATCCTGTTTACCTAAGCAAATGTTTTAGTTTTTTTTAATATTGATTTAATCTGTTGAATTGGTGCATTCAAAGACTGCTGCTGCCAGACGGGAAGGCAGGCAGCAAATTAAATGTGGATGCTGCAGCTGCCGTGCATGCATACATCCCAGACTGCAAGGTGTCATTGAATCCCTCAGTGCAACAAGAAAGTACGAGTAAAGATTAGAAACAGTCTTACAGTGTTTATTCAATGTAATATATACTCTTTTAAGCAATGCAAGCAATGGACGTGTACATTTGACAAAATCAAATTTAGTTTTTAAAATCACCAAAATGTCTGTTAATATTTGATCTCTTTTAAGTGAACACAATCCTCTGTCATGAAAGGAATGATTGAGAAAGTTATTGAATTCAACATTTTAGTCTAAGCCTTGACATTGACTCGAGGTTAAAGCAATGTCAGTGCACTGTCTGCAGCTTCTTGTCATTTTTTTTAATGCTATCTATAAAAAAAAAGTGTCATTCTTTTCTGACGGTTAAAATGTAAGAAATACTGACTTTGACAGAGTTAGACATGTGGTTCCTTTTTTTAAAAAAACCTGTTTTATTACACACACCCAAAGGCAGACGGTGTTATTTGTTCAGGAACAACGCGTTCAAATCCCCATATGCTTATTTGCAGTGCAAATAGTCTATAATGGATCATTTAATTTAAGCTTTCTGCTTGGCAGCCTGAAAAAAAGGTTAATTGATTAATGTGCTTACATGGGACCTTGAGAGACTTGTTGCGTCATCTGTGTCTCTGCTCGCACTGAAAGGGGTTTCCACTTGTAAGTTATGAGCTTTATATTTGCAAAGGAATTATGTTTCTTCTTGTAAATTACAGCAAAGATGTAATCAAATGTACTACTATAGGTTATTGTACCACTGTATCAAATAACTCTTTGAAGCACAAAACGTTTATCCCCACCGCTCCTTTTAAAATGTGTCCTCTACTGCTCATGAAAGATCGCAACGATTATGTAAAGAAAAACAAATTGTGCTCTGGCTTATTCACACTGTCGCATATAGACCATCCTCCACTAGTGATTACAGAGTCAAACATCACCCTCCCTCACACAATGACAATCCCTTACCTGTGGCTTAAACCCGGACTGTGAAGCATTTTGATGAATAGAGGTGGACTAAGAAGCTTAAAGGCTAACTGAGGGCATGCAGGTGTGTTTATTGTTTTCTTCTTTTAACCAGATGACAGTCATCTAGAATGTTAGTGCGCTCATTGGTCGGTACCTTTTTTTTAGAAATATTTGGTTATATTCTGGAGGTGCAGCATTGTACACTGCTGTCACGTTGCATTATAACAGGATAACGACATAATTGAGGCTTTAATGGAAACCCTTTCTACTTTCCCCCTATTTACTTTAATCATGATAATGGCCCATTATAATTCTTTTTTATTAGAAAGAAAAACATGACTTCATCCTTTGCAACCTATGATTGACCTTTTATTATCAAGCTGCTGAACAACCTTGATTACATCCTAAATGTAATTTTGCCAACACTGATGTGCTGTGTTATTCTCAAGAGAATTTTCTATTTTGTGAGTGCAGACTGTCCCAATTTTGAGAGTTTCCTGGGTATTTCTGATACCCCTTTAGCTTAAAAACAAAACATAAAAACAACTCAGACTTGTTTTGCCTGGTCTCTGCTTTTTTCTAAATTAAATGAAATTAAACTAATGTGGATTGAAATGCGGAGCATGTAAGTGTACTCTGTCTGTATGTAATACAGTTAGTGGGAGTGCCAACAGAAAACTAGATTTTGACTCTTTGATGAGAAAAGAGCAAATAATTGAGAAGGTCGAACAGTATATCCAAGTCCTGGCACATACAAGCTCAGAATTAACTACATATTACCGTACTTCATAGTTTTTCAAATATGTCTGTGTTGTAGACATACATATAGCATTATGTTGATGAGGCCATGAAGTGTTTCACATTTCAAAGGTTGCGCTTCTATGGGGAGCTTGTCAGATTGTAATAGGTCTGAACAGCAGTTACTTGGGAACTCTATTACTCTCTGTTTGTATATTTCCATACTTTCCATTAACATATGGAACTGCTCTGAAAATAGAGATTCACCCTTCTTAGATTTGAGTTGAAATCCATCTCCCTGCTATGCCAGTTTAGTACACATCACAATTTACTTGTTGCTGGCATGCCCCCTCGCTTGTTTCCTCTCTTGTATTATTCTGCTTCTTTTTATAATTACAACAGTCTGGTCTTGATAAGCTTGGCTGTCTGCAGCTCCATCCCGCCGTTTTGATGGGGATGATGAGGTTTTTATCACAGTGCAGTTTTCTTCTCCCAGCAGCCTGAACAACCTGCCACTCATCCTCAGGGATGTTTTAAAGCCTGATGGAGGGATCTTTTTGAATGTGGAAGTGAAGACAGACAGCCAGATGCAACGATAGGTTAACAAAGAAGAAACCTGGCACACACGCTGACAGACATGTGTTAAAGTAGTATGTTGAATCGCAGCCCTGGTCCATGTCTGCCCTTTTAGTTAAAGTCTGACAAGCAAAGGCTTTTGTGAAGCAGTTTGTCGATATAGTGATTTACTTTGCGTTTTTCTTGGCAGGGAAGCAGCGGTTTGTGCTCATCCCTCTGTGTGGTTCGTCTCCGCTCCTGCCCTTTTATATTGTATAGCAGGATTTAAGACCTCCAACCAAATAAGTCCACATTCATGCCGTTGCGATTTATGAAATTCTCTTCCTTCATACTGTATGTCCTTTTTTGTCTCTGCAGGCAAAGACATGAGCTTCTCCCGCTGAGCCTCATTGATGCTGAACTGGTGAGTTTATAAGCTTGTTTTTTTACTGGGTTATATTTACTCAGTCCCAGTTAGCTTCCCTCTTAAAACACTGCTGGCTAATACCATCTGGGAGCAAGTGATGGAAATGCTCTGTTCCTTTTGCCTCTTCATTTTTAGCTTCCAATTTCCAGAGCACCCGGTTCATGCTTGCATATTAATAGCTTAGACTGCATTAAGTAAATTAATTAAAGTGTATGCATAATGTGTGTGAAACATATGGCCTCATCCAGCCTACAGGCTTACCTGAAAAGTTATGTACTCTACCTGGATGTCTCAGTGTAATCTAATGCACAAAAAAACGAGGGCGAAGCTAAAAAATAACATCCATCAAGCAGGTGAGGAATGGGGGGGATTTTCCTGCTACTTTATATGAAGCACAGATGTCCATCAGACTCATATTTTACCTTGTTATAAATGTGTAGTTGCTTTCTCATATACAGACGCTTTTCTCCTTCAAATTATTCAATGTTGCAAACACGAAGCATCGAGAGGTGGAAACATTTTGACATGTTATGGGATTTTCACTGAGAGATGAATGGCAGATAAGCATTGATAAGCAGCATGTTGCATGGCTGCTGCTGCCGCTGTGTGCTTCCCTCATGCTCGGGTAGAAACTGCAGTGGGGCTGAGAGGTGGTTGCGCTCTTTAATATGTTCTTTATTAATGGTGTAATCTGTATTAATGATGTGATGTGTAGCATGCAGGCTGTCTGTAGATTACTTTTTAGATGCTTAAAGCTTTATTTTATTATTTTTATAGAATGTAGAGGGATACATTTTAATTCATTGTATTTAAGCACAATACATTTTGATAAATAGGAAAATACCTCTACATATAATACTCTTAGGAGGCAGCTGTTGAAAATAGCAAACTATCTTTGAATATTTCAAAGAAGCCAGGTATTTGTCTTAATAGCAAGGTGTCTGTAGTGGCATACATCTATCATACAAGGTGTTCAAATCCAAAGTTTCCAACATGAAGCTTCTTACTTTATACCCCCTCCTCCCCCCTTTTGTAGTCAAGGAGGGATGAAATGGCTCACAGTAGACATGTTCATGTTTGTCAGGTTTGTGGTCATGGCTCAGTTTATTTCATCATGTGTGTGGAAAAAAAAAGAGTTTGTATTTTGTATTGTAGTTGTGGAGAAAAATAAATATCTATGATCGATTGTAGATTGTAGTCGAATTTCATGTAGTAAATTGATACCTTTGTATTTTGTGAAAAATATAAAATCCTTCAGGGGCGCAGATGGCCCAGTGGTGTTGTTGTGGCCCATGTACCTCAAAGTGGGCGGCATGGGTTCAAGTCCAATGTGCAGCCCCATCCTGCATGTCATCTATGATATCTAAAAAAAGACAATCAGTAATTCTGAAAGTCGGCTTCAACCATTGTTAGATTAAATGGTGCTTCTCTATGAGATCTTTCTAAATGGTGAAAACTCAAATTCTTTCAGTAGCAGAAGCAGTCATGCATAAACATTTGTCCTGTCAAGTTGTTGTTTTTTTCCCACATTGATCCATATTTTCATTTGAGTTTAACCACGTCATTAAACTATTGGAATAACAATTAATGATGGGACTTCTTCCATCTTTATTCTTACTCATTAAGTCTGCATATGATTAAGGTGACCTTACAGCCACATTACACATGTTCAATACAGCAGGCACCACACTGATGGCCCAGTGTGTGCGGGTCAGACCACCAGCAAACAAACAACATCTTTTAACTTAATATTAAAAAGATTTACAGAACTCTCCTGATGATAATAATCCACCAAAAACGAGTCCCCACGTTTCAAATCAAGTAAAAGATTTAATCCAAACAAATTACATCCTTAAAGATCTATGGATTGCTTTAAAAAACGTCGCTATTCCGCTGACCTTTTGACGACACCTGATACCAGTCTATAACAGCCAATGAGAGCCTTTGTTGAAAGGCGATGCCTCCACCTGTTCTGATGGCAGCTGTGCCGATTAATCATATCTCTGATATAAGGTTTTATGTTTGCCAATTGATAAACTTAGATGGAAACATGCCTTGACTAGTCATTATTAGAAATAAGAAGCTCTATATCCAGTAAAACAAACCTGACTGGTTTTGATTTAGGCTTTGTTCCATTTCTGTAACCAAAGAAAAAAGGGTTTTTAGGATCAGGTCTGTCAAACAATGTTACTTAGGGTGACCACTTGACAAGAAATCCTTCTCAGATGCTCGATGAATCACTTTGTGATCATGGATGCTCACTCCTGCCGGCCTTATCCACTTTTCAAAGGCTCAGCTAATCCCAGCATCGCCCTCTGCTCTCTAGCCTGATAAAACTCAACACCACTCCGTTGGTGTCAGCTTCAAATATATATATATATATAACTGATCAAAACCCAACATGACCATCACTGGTCCAGATTTTGTAGATAAATCTGCTAGCACAGTGTTTGCAGCTTAAAGAAAGAGAGAGAGATCAATGATGAGAGAGTGTCTTCACTACAAGGGTAAGTGTGGCTCCAGGGTGAATATAATGACAAGGGGTATTCTCTGCAGACTCATAGAGAGAGAGAGAGAGAGAGAGAGAGAGAGAGAGAGAGAGAGATGAAGCGTAAGAGAGAAAAGGGAGGGAGCGGCTTACTTTCACTCCAACTGTTGAGAGCTGCCGTCATCAAGTCAATATTTACTCTGTCTTAACAAAAAGAAACGGCAGCTTTAGCTTAGCTGATTCAGTAGCAGGCAGAGGGAGCATCCTGGTCACTGTCAAAGGTTTTGAAGAGAAAACAGCACATCAGTGATATTAACTGTAGCTCAGTTTCATGTGTGGCTCTAAAAATACATCTGAACTGAAAAGGAGAGCTGTCACACACCCCGGTACTCTTTGTTGCTTTCCCTCATGCTCCTTTTTAGATGCACTCACGCTAACAGTGTGCACACTTACTTTACCCGTGGCTCAATCCACTGCGGGGATACATGTGAACGCAATTTGCACTTCCAATTAAACTGTCGACCTTCGCTCCAGAATGCAAAACTTGATTTTGCACCGTCCTCTCCTGGATAGCTATTTTTACCCAGCCAGCCCAATAATAGAGAATGGGGGCTTCACAATTCACTGACAGGGATGACTAAAGTCAGCAAAATGATTAATACATTTTCCTTCTGTCAATGTTTGAGGGAGGGAAGCAATTGAAACTAACAATTAATTTTTCTATTGTTTTTTTATTTTTTTAAATTAACTTTTATTCGTGTGACAGAGAGAGACCAAACCAAATCATACCATCACCTCTAAAATAGAGCAAAAGTCACAAGGCAGAGAAAAAGATGAATATTAGTTGTGGTTGCAGGATGAGAACTCTTTTCAGATCAATAGATAAGTATTTTCCCAGAGACATGATTCAGTGCCAAACTCTGTAAATGCCTTTACTCTTCAACTGCAGTATTTATTAATCTCTTATCCTATTGCTGCCCATATTAATCAGCAAAGAAGACCCAACGTTTTTTGTTGTTGTGTGATTGTACACAGAACTGTAGTAGAATCAGCATTGTACACTGGTTGTACAGTATTGTATTTTAAAAATAGGGCTTCAGGGCCCTCAGTCCTTAATGGCAAAGGTGAACCCAAAAACTCTCAAATCAGAATTATCCCTCTGTGCATATTGTTCTCAAAGTTGTTTTTTAAGACCCAAATTATTCTCCAAATCAAATGGACCCAGTGATTAAAACCAATAAATTCACAGATAACAGCTTTTTCAATTTCAAAACTTGTGATTCTCTGATTGTCTGTGTGGGAACAAGACGTCAATTGGGGTTTCAAGCTGAGCCGACTCAGTGTTTTGGTGCTGAGCCTGTTTCATGGTTATAAACCCTTCATTGTTTATTTCATCCATCCCTGAGTTCTGTATGGTTTACATGATTTTTGCAGAGGTCTTTGCCTCTGAAAAAGTAAAGACACCAGAACTCGTAAACACACTGAATGAAGCGGTATCATGTTAAAAGTTGCTGTTTTTCTGGTACTCTTTGGCTTACCTTTGAGCCACAGGCTAAATTGTTGCCAATTTTAGCATCAAGAAAGAACCTGATGGAAATTCTTTAAAGGTCTGGCTGATAGCAAACGGACAAATGTGACATATATATGTAAAACATGAGGCTCATGAAGCTCATTGGGTGTGGCACCACACTGAAAAAAGAGGAACAAATTGTTAAAGCTTTGTATCAAACTGCCAAACCCAATATAACTGACAACACTGTGAGTCAGGTACAGCCATTTCTTATCTGTAAGCCCAGTTGCTTGTGGTGAAGCCAAAGACAATTTTCCACATCGTAAATCCAAGTTTCTAATCTTAATATAACCAAACCTAAAACCAGTGGGCTATAAATGTTCCAAATGCATTGAGGTCAAAGTGCTGTTGTTTTTTAATAACTGCAACTTTTGCGTCTTTCAGAGATGATATGACTTCCTCACATTATTAAAAAAAGCAGTTTGAAGACTTAGCTGAATGCTGGAAAACAGCAGAATCGAGTGAGCTAGAGTCAGCCTAAAGCATGCTGCAGAGCCTCTAACTCAGCTCCAACACATGACTGGCTGGTCAGATCAGATGACTTGATTAACAACAGGAATGTGCCTTCCTCCTCTGTCTACAGCGCTGCTCTTGTCTTTCTGGGAATGGTGAGAGGTGTGTGTGTGTGTGTGTGTGTGTGTGTGAGTGTATGTGTGCCGCATGTGCCAGAAGAGCGTCTTTAATCAGCCCACTACTTTACGGAAAAAAGCAAGTCCAAGTAATTATGTAACATTTAGCAGCTGAGCTTATCACTTATCCTACTTAGCTAAGTTGAAATGCAGAATGTGGAGCACAGCACAATTGTCTCTATTTTGTTATTAACTTGCGTAATCTAATGGCTGCAAGGGAATGCCTCCTTTTATACAGATAATCCCTGAGTGGAAGAATGAAAGGTATTTAATATGAGCCTAATTTATGCCTTTACTTGTTTTTATGTTT